TGACACGAGTTGAGACTTTTGCTGGCACGTGGGTTCGCCACATGGCCTCAAGCCGGCAGCTGAAGACCCGCCAGCAGATGGGAGGAATCTCTCCATACCCACACGCAGTAGTGCGGGCTGCAGCAGACCGCTGTCGATGTTACAATGCCTTACAGATTTGCTGCCCCAGCAACTTTTTTTGGGGGGGCCGCATAGTGGAAACGATACCCCCCTATATTATTGTACATCTGCGGGGCACCATGTTCTGGGGAAAAAATGTGTCTTTATAGCGGGGAGTTTCCTTAAGAAGAGTGTCTTTAAAGCGGGGACGACTGTACTGCTGCTTGTGTCCGGCTGTGCGAAAGACAAGCGCAACGATACACTATGGCGAAATGCGTTCGACTGAAAGCGTATCCCATGCCTCGCAAGCACCAAAGGATAACCATGCTCTCGTTTTTCTCGCCATGCACTCGCTTATCTGAACTGCCCACAGGGCGCAGACCTCACGGGCGATTTGTGGTCCGCAGCTCTGCTCGCCCACAACCCGTCCCTCGTCCGCAACACCCACCTGGCCTATTATCGCGCGGGTGCGGATGTCGCCACGAGCGCGAGCTACCAGGCTTCGTTCGAGGGTTTCCTGGTGAGCGGGTGAGGAATCTGTACACTGAAGGTCTTGTCTCCGAACTCAAACGTCAATTTTCATCATCGTGTGCACGCGCAGCAGCAGTTGCGACGATGCTCTGGCAGACAGGCCCCGCGGTGTGTCTCGCGAAGCACCGTCCGATGACGGGCTGCTGGTAGAATTTGTATAATCACGGACATCCATTTTGTGCCCTCGCGGACCGTGTTGGTCTCGTGCGTCTTTTATCCCCCTTTTTGCCCCCACGCAATTCACGACTTCTTGGGTTGGGTTGACCGGCCTAAAAACTTCCAGCGCAAGGGAATAGGTCCAGAGCGGGCGGAGGAGCTCCTTCTCCTGAGCGTAAGGCTGGCAGTCGAGGCCCGAGATCAGTTTTGGGCCGAGTACCAAGAAGAGCGTCCTGCCTCTCGTCCTGCCCCAACGAAGCAGCAAACCTTACAACAGCCATCACAAACAACGGCGACGACTTTTGTAGAAGAAGAGAATCCCAAGCAGCATCAACAGCCGCTCAGCGGGTCCGAGGGACGACCACACCGACGACGACTGCGGCCGCTTGTTGCCGCCAGCCTTGGGTGCTACGGAGCGGTGCTCGCCGACGGTTCGGAGTACCGAGGGGACTACGTCGACACGCCGGCGGGAAGCCTCAAGGAGTTCCACGCCAGGCGACTGGAAATCCTGGCGAGGGCGGACGGTGTCGACATGGTCGTGTTCGAGACGGTCCCTTGCCTTGCGGAAGTGCGCGCCATCCTCTCACTGTTGCAGGCAAGAGAAGGAGGGGGGGGGGG